ACGATGATGATGAAATCATTCCATCATCTTTACTAAAGGTTTGTAATAAAGGCAAGCACAACTCTAGAATTATCTACCACAGATGACGCAGTTGCCACATGGAGGATGTGTTCTGAGTTCTTAATAAAATGGGTGCTCTTTATATTCCCATAGGGAAGGCGACCAAAGGTGTGCAGAAATGACAAACCTGAGCTGACAACGTTCCTTCCCATGGGCCTTCCCCACCCGGCAGCACCGGACCCCGTCTTTGGACCCTTCTTGGTGGTTTATGTGCTCACTGCGGTGGGGAACCTCCTCATCTGGCTGGTCATCACGGTGAGTTCCCACCTCCACACCCCCATGTACTACTTCCTGACCAACCTGTCCTTCATTGGCCTGTGGTTCCCCACGGCCACTGTCCCCAAAATGCTGATGACCTGGGTCTCCCCAGGAGGCAGAACTTTCTTCTTTCACAGCTGTGGGGCCCAGCTCTACTTCTTCCCCTCCTGGGGAGCACCGAGGGTTTTCTCTGCACAGTCATGTCCTGTGACCACTACCTGGCCATCGGCTACCTGCATGGCGCGTGGGAGAACGTGCTCTCCTGGTAAACGCAGGGCTAGTGGCCTCGGGCTGGTGGCTCCTGGTAGGATTATCCTACGAGTCCCTGGTCTGTTCCATCTTGAAGATCCGCACCCCCGAGGGGACACGCAGAGCCTTTCAGACCTACCCTCCCACTGCACTGTGGTCCTTTGTTTCTCGGGCCCTGCTGTTTCCTTTACCTGAGGCCCTCCTCCAAGGACGCTGTGGATGGGATTGTGGCAGTTTCCTACACGGTGCTGACCCCGTTCGAAACCCTGGAGTGTGCGCCCTGAGCAACAACGACGTGAAGAGAGCTCTGCTCAAGCTTAGGGAAAAGTACCACACTCCCAGAGCAATCAAACGCTGCGCTGTGGCTCTGCCTGTTTTTATATACAGGCGGGATTGCACAGTGTGATGAAGTTTAAAATCTAAGTCAGGTGCAGAGAGTAAATAAGGCACTTCTCTTATCCTGTGGTAGGAAGTAAATGTAGTTTAAAAAATTCTACCTTTGGTATATAAAATACACATAACTATACAAAAATCTAGTGTGAAAGATCTACTCTAAAAACTATTTAAAAAATACTAATATAATTTAGTCATCAATATTAAATTTATTAAAACAAAATAGTTAAAATAATAAATGAAATTCAAAAAATAAATAAATTGAAGTTATTTTTCTTTAAAAATTAAAAAATAATAAAAATTTATTAAAACCACCCACTCAGGAATATTATTTTGCAGATTTTTCTGAAGAAATTTTTAAAAGTCACAATTAAATTTTTTGTTGAGGATGAACGTGCTTAAATTTTGGTTATCAACTCATTTGTCTATAATAAGCTTACTTTTATTTTTCCTGTTTTATTAAGATATAATAGAAATATAACACTTTTACCCTTTAAAAAATATATTCTGATTGGATCTCAAGTACAGAGGGTGTGTTTATTCATATACTAAGTTGATAATATGCTTTTAGTTTGGTTTTTAATGTCTTAAGCACACGTGCTTGGGAATTTACCATCAACAGGATATTTTGATGGAGAGCAACAAATATCAAAGGTCACTCACTTGTGGATGCAGCATTGCACCTGCCTCCTCAGTTCTTTTAGTGGCTGTGTGTGTGTGTGTGTCCCAAGGTGGCCACTCCTCTTCCCCAGTGACCTTGCTGATTGGTCGCACTCCGATGGCGTTCTAAACTTCTGCTGAGCAGCTTGCTCTGTCTGTAAGTGGTGACACGGGCACCGTCTTGTGAGAGTCGTGCAGTTTCTCAGGTTTGGCGAGTCAGAACAGGACAAAGTTAAAGTAGGGATCTCCAGTCTCCATCACATATTCTGACCTTGAATTCCTGTGCTACCTGACCAGGTTTAGCACAGAACCAGCCTATTCTGGATCCTTTTACTTCAGATCCTGCTGCCCTAATAGCTTCTTCCCCAACATCTTAGTCTTAGAAATTCAACTGCACCAAACAACAACCTGCTTCATAATAAAATTTTGAAAATATGATTGAAATTTGTGCAGCAACAGTCTGAAGTGGTCAGGTGCCCTAATAATAGCACTTAAAATTATTAGACATAAATTGAAGAAGGTGACTCTCCTGAAGTGAAATATTAATAGATAAGACATATGTTATTTTTTATGTATATCATAAATGGCTGCCCAGTGGCTGTTTATTTACATATTTAATGATATGGTGATAGAGTATTTGAAATCATTAATAAAATATGTCAAGTCATTCACAGTGTTAAGCAAAACTCTAAAAATCAATGCAGAAGAGCAATGCCATAATAGGCAGCCTCCAGAATAATAACTAAACATCACTGTCAGGGGCCGTACTAAGCTGTACTCAGCACTAAGAGTACAACTCAGAATTACTGATGTACTTTCTCTTAGTTCAAAGATGCTGGTGGTATCTGCAAGAATTCTTTACCATTACAGGTCCTTTTCTACCCATCTGGCATGACTTTAAACTTACCAAAGATTTGTTGACAAACGGGACTTAAACTTGAGTCCATGAAGACATTCTTCATTTCTACTACAGGTTTAAAATTTTTTTTTCTAACTTTCTATTCTTTCCTGTTTTTAATATATATATATATA